AATTGATTGATAGGAATGAAACTTCTACATTTCTGAATGCTCCAGTTCTTCATCAGTTGGCCGGGCAGGGTGATCAGGCAAACCAATTAATCAAAAACCAATGCCAAATTGTTCCCTCACCTCAGGAGATTGTTCCTAAGCCTTCAAACCAAATTTTACATGAGCCAAACTCCTTGAATCTAAAAAATAGTCTCCCAGTGCACTGTAGCACTCAACAAGTCCCTGTTGCAGCACTCAACAATCCTAGCCTTGAGCCTGTCTAAACTGAAGCACAACACCAAAACCCCCAAACCTTAGTCCCTGCTAACAAGGCTGATCCCTCAGTTACATCTGCACCCATGCAGATCAATGCACACATAACCTCCTTACCAGCCCCAGCTCCTATTCCAAGTGCAAACCCCCCAATCAAAATATCTTCCAATTTTGATAGGCCAAACAATTCCAAAAAGCCTCACTAAATACCAACCAACACCACACCCCCAATTCAGCCCAATAAACAGACCCCCCTGCTCCTTCTTCCACACCTCAAAATAACAGTAATCTCACCAAGAACACACCAACTGGCAACACATCTCCACCCCCTCCCACTGTCACTCACTCATTTGTCAACAGACTCAGAGCTAGACATGGGGCAGAGATAAAACCAATTGCTTTCACCCCTCCAATAATAACCACCAAGCAAGGCCAACCTGCTGTTGTTTTCAAGAAGGAAGATTACATGGTGAAATTTGCAGATAGGTGCAAATACACTGTAGTGGGCAAATTTTCTAATACTATGCCTAGAATGTAAATGATTAGAAAAGCTTCATTGCCCAAACTGAGCTTAGAGGTGGAGTGAAGATAGCTCATTTCAATGCTAGGATAGTTTATATTGATCTGGATAATGAGTATGATCACTCTACTGTCTGGGGCAAACAACACATGTACATTCAAGGGCAAATGATGAAATTTGAAGCATGGACCCCTGCATTCAAGCCTAATGAGGATTCCCCTATTGTACCAATATGGGTAGTTATCCCTGAACTCCCATGGCATCTGTACTATATGGAAATCCTCACACCTCTACTGTCCCCAATTGGCAAAGCTATATATCTGGACCTAGTATCTTTTCAAAAAACAAGGGGAAGTGTTGCTAAGGTTAAAGTTCAAATTGATCTCACAAAGGAAAGGCCCCATCATGTGTGGCTTGGATATGATGAAGGGCAAGATGATAATGGTGATGGTGAATGGTTAGAAGTTCAATATGAGAGTATTCCTGCCTACTGTGTCCATTGCAGACATCTGGGCCATTCAGAGTACAATTGTGAAACTAGACTTCAAGAAGAGGAGAAAAAGAAAAAGAAGGAAGAAATTGCTGGAACAGCACAGTCTCAGGCTACCAATCAAAGGAAACATAATGAAGATGCAGGAACAAGCAAAAACCAAAAGAAAGAACAGGGGGGACCATCAAAAATAAATGCACCTGACCAAAAGAAAACCAACTAGGAAGCAGAACATCAAGCAAATGCTAATAATCAAAGTACAGTTGCTGAGATTTCAAAGGAGGAATGGCAAACCCAAAAAAGAAAGAACTTCAAAGGCACCAACCAAAATAAAAAACAACAGCAGGTGTACATTCCAAAACAGCACATAACACAGCAACAACATTTGGTCACATCAAATGATATTCAACAAATGGTCAACCAATCCTCAGGTATGCCTTCTATCAATCCTCCAGCCTCACTGGAGAGGAGTGCTGATTCTGGTGCCCAGAATCATCCCATCCCCTTGGCCCCCTCTTCCCCTTCCCCCTGTTGTTGCTTCTGAAGTTTTTGGAGGAAAGGTGGTCTGTCAGGAGAAACCAATAGACTAATCCACAAAATCCTAAAAGTCCCATACCCATACAAGCCCCAGTTCACAATGAACACCTCATGCATCCTTTAGAACCTTTTCCTGAAGAGTGCCCACTCAACAAAAATTCTCCTCAGGAGGATGAATACAGGCCATTCTATCTGAGGATGAGATGAGAGGTGATTTTGAGAAAGAGGTAGAAGATGCTGATATTAGTGATCAATCAGAAGAAGACCAACATTGTGACCTTTTGATCTCGGCTGTGAATGGCTCCTTTAGTCAAGCTGAAACCATGAACTCTAAAAAGTCATCCTCCAGAATGAGATCATCTCCAAGAATAACCAGAAGCAAGGCTGTTTCCAGCAGCAGTGTCCCACCAAACCACAAACTCCGCTCCCATTTTTAATGATTAGCACACTTACATGGAATGTCAGAGGCATCAGGACCTCTGGAGCCATTGAAAGGCTAAAAATCCTCAGAAAACTCCACAAAATGTCTCTCATAGCAGTGCTGGAACCCTTCCTGCACAATTCAGTCTCTAATCCAACTCTCCATGATTCTCACCTTAACCACTTCAAAATCCAACTCTCCGTGCACAATTCAGTCTCTAATATCAATAACAAAATTTGGATTTTCTGGGATCAAGACTTCTCTGGCACTGTTACTGACTCTGATGATCAACAGGTCACCTTGGAGTTGAGACATGTTGAAGCTAGGGACTCTTTCCACATCTCTGTCATCTATGCTAAATGTAAGCCTCTCCTGAGAAGACCTCTTTAGGAAAATCTCAGGCTCAAATCTGTAGCCATCTCCACCCCTTGGTGTGTTATTGGGGACTTCAATGTAATTGCTTCAATTGAAGAGAAAATTGGAGGCCTCCCATACCAGATCAACAAAAGCATTGACTTCCTAAGTATGATGGAAGGTTGCGGGCTAATTGACCTTGGTTTTTATGGTCCAAGGTATACCTGGTCTAATGGAAGAGGGCCCTGTGCTATAGTATGGAAGAGACTAGACAGAGGTCTAGTCAATGACAGTTGGATGACTTCCTTTCAAGCCACACCATCTCTCATCTTGCCTCAATAGTTTCAGATCATTCCCCCCTTCTTTTGGAAATGCGTGTAAGACCCGATTCAGCAAAAAGATACTTCAAATTTTTGAACCGCTGGATTGAAAATGAAACCTTCATCCCACTTGTCAAATCTGTCTGGTCTAAACCATTCCAAGGGAATCCAATGTGGATCTTTCATCAGAAAATTAAAGCCCTTTGCACTGAACTTAGCAAATGGTAAAGGCAACAATATGGTGACATCTTTCAGAAGGCCAAAGAGTTTGAGGATAAAGTTAGGCAAGCAGAGGAAACATGGACTCAAACAAACACTGATGCTGATAGGGCTAACCTCCATCATCTCACAGCCCAGTATACTAAATACCTCAAGATTGAGGAATCAGTGTTGAAGCAAAATACTCAGATGCAATGGTTCAAAGAGGGGGATGCCAATTCTAAATACTTCCACAGCTTGATCAGAGGCAGAAGGAGAAAATTGTTTATCCACAAGATCAAAGATGAAAACAACAACTGGATCCAAGGTGATGAAAACATTGGTGAAGCTGCTTGTACCCACTTCCAGAACATCTTTACTGATCCTGGGGGTAGAATCAGGGAGGATCTTTTATCTTGTATCCCATCCCTGGTTACTGATCATGATAATGAACTTCTGAACAAAGAACCTTCTATGGAGGAACTCAAAGAGGTAGTCTTTTCCATGAGCCCCACTAGTGCTGCTGGTCCTGATGGCCTAAATGGAAAATTTTATCAACATTGTTGGGAGATTATTAAGCAGGATCTATTCAGTGTAGTCACAGCCTTCTTTTGTGGTTACTCTATGCCCAAATACATGTCCCATGCCTGCCTAGTCCTCCTCCCAAAGGTTGAATTCCCTAACTCCCTCTCTGAATTCAGACCAATTAGTTTGAGTAACTTCATAAAAAAAGTCATCTCCAAATTAATCTGTTCCAGACTTGCTCCAATTCTCCCCAAAATCATCTTACCCAACCAAACTGGTTTTGTCAAAGGCAGGAACATTTCAGAAAACATCATGCTAGCTCAGGAGATTGTTCAAGGCATTAAGAAACCAAATGTTGGAGCTAATGTGGTGATCAAACTGGACATGACAAAGGCATATGATAGGGTTTCCTGGTCCTTCACTTGCATTATGATGAGAAGATTGGGTTTCAGTGAAAGAATGATTGATATGGTTTGGAGGACCCTTTCAAATAACTGGTATTCTGTGATCATCAATGGTACAAGATGTGGCTTTTTTCACTCTACAAGAGGTCTGAAACAGGGGGACCCTCTATCTCCAGCTCTCTTCATTCTAGGTGCAGAACTCCTTTCCAGATTACTTAATAACCTCTCTCATGATCAGTTCTTTAATGGATTTTATATGGAGAAAAGAGGTCCTCAAGTCACACACCTTAGCTTTGCTGATGATATTATCATCTTTACCTCTGGTGGCAGAGCCTCTTTGAAAAAGATCATGACCATCCTTCAGACATATGAGCACACCTCTGGCCAGTTGATCAACAAAAGCAAAAGCCATTTCATGATATCCCCCTGTGCATTTCCACATACCATAAGAAGAATTCAGCAGATTACAGGGTTTTCCAAGAAAGAGTCCCCTATCACATACCTAGGATGCCCTCTCTATATTGGCAGGAAAAGGATCATTCATTTCAATCCCATCATCTCTAAAGTGGTCAGTAGAATTAGAGGGTGGCAAGGCAGGCTCCTTTCTCATGGGGGCAGGGCTACCCTTATCAAGCATGTCCTCCAATCTCTTCCCATTCACCTCCTGTCTGCAGTTTCCCCTCCCAAAACTGTGATTAAACAAATTGAAAAGCTTGCTTCCAATTTTTTCTGGGGTATGGATCAGAACAAGAATAAGTACCACTGGGCCTCCTGGCACAAATTAGCAAACACTCTGGATGAAGGTGGAGTAGGTTTCAGATCCATTGAAGACATATGCAAATCCCTTGAATTCAAACAATGGTGGTGCTTTAGAACAAAACAATCTCTGTGGAGCAGTTTCTTAACTGCAAAATACTGCCAAATATCACATCCAGTCTCAAAAAAGTAGGACTCTAGTGAGTCCCAAGCATAGAAGAAGATGAAGTCCAACAAAAAAGAGGCTGAGATTCACATTTATTGGAGGCTTCATTCTGGGAATTCCTCTTTCTGGTGGGATAATTGGCTAGGTACTGGCAACCTTGCTAACCACAGAACTCAGGGTGGTAGGCCTGGTAAAATCAAGGTCTCTCAGTTTTGGAGTTCTGGTCAATGGGACCTGCAGATGCTCAACAATCATGCCCCTGCCCACATGATCCCCACCATTCTTCAAATCCCTATCTACCAAAACTCCCAAATCCCTGACCAGCCAATTTGGAAACCCAATGCTTCTGGTACCTTTACCTGTGCATCTGCTTGGGAGGTTGTTAGAACCAAAAGGCCAATCCTTGTTACCAATAAAATGACATGGCACAAGAAAATTCCCTTCAAATGGTCCTTTTGCCTATGGAGAGCCCTTAGGAATAAACTTCATACTAATGATAGAGTAGCCAGGTTTGGACCCCCTTCTGTCAACAGATGTGTTTGCTGCATTAATTCCCAGGCTGAATCTGTTGACCATATTTTCAGTAGAGGCCATTTTGCTAAGGCTGTTTGGAAAATTTTCACTGGCCCTGCTGGTTTCCTTTTTGAAGAAATGCCACTCCAAAACCTTCTTATGAAATGGTGGATTCAGAAGCCCAGAAATGAAATCCACAAATTGCTCTTGGACACCTTCCCTATTATCATCTTCTGGAATCTCTGGAAGAATAAATGTGGAGCAAAATATGGCACCAAACATTCTTCCATGGCCAGAGTTGTTTTCTCCATTAACTCTGACATTAATCTTCCCCTCAAAACCACCTACCCTAACATCACTTGGCCATCTGAATGGTCTGGGATTTGCACCTTAACTGAGAGTTTGAATTTTCTCACCAAATCCACCCAGGTCTGCTGGCAAAGACCTACCCTTGGTCTTGTCAAAATTAACAGTGATGGAAGTGCCTTGAGTAATCTAGGAAGAATGGGAGCTGGGGCCATCATCAGAAATCATCAAGGGGACTTCATTCATGCCATTGCTAGTCCCTTAGGTGAAGGAACAAATAACCTTGCTGAAACTGAAGCTGCTTTTTTAGGGGTCAGGTGGTGCATTGACAATGGTTTTTCCAAAGTCCATTTGGAAGCTGATTCTGCTCTTCTGATCCACTGGTTAACCTCTTCTGCAACTCCTCCTTGGACCCTTGTAATGCACATTCATAATCTCAAGGAGCTTTGCCAGCAGTGTGAATCCATCTACTTCAGTCATGTCTACAGAGAAGGCAATGCTCCTGCAGATTCCCTCTCAAAACTTAGCCATGATCTTCACACCATTACTCACTACAATAACCTGCAGGACCTCCCTTCCCACATCAGAGGTCAAATCCTCATGGATAAATCTAGCATCCCAGCCTTCAGACACAAGCTGACAAACCAACTCCAAAACCATTCCCATTCTCCTAATACCTCTTCCCATGGTTATGGCTAATATAGATTCAGAAAGGTAGCCCTACAAATTTGTCCAAAAAATCAGTTAGCATCAGACAGTGTCTCAGCAAACAGCAGACTGATCTGCCCCTTATAAAATTAACCACCTCTTCATGTCAGTCCAAGTGCCTGAATTAGCAACAACAACACCTTGAAGGCAACCAATCAGAAATCACAAAGAAACAGAAGCAATGGAAACAGGGGAAGAAATGCCAAAATTTCCACTAACTTTGTTTATTTTTTTTGCAGGTTTCTTGTTTCCGCTTACCCTCAACCAATTGATAAACTATCAAATTTTGACAATTCTGATAGTCTATCAAATGGAAAGAGATTATCCCCACTATAGCACACCTCCTTTCCACACCATACATCACCAAAAACCCCCTGATACACATCAACTGCAGGAAAACATTTTCCTCAAAACTGTTCCCACCAAGGCTCACATTTCCCACCAATCCAAGGCTTCTAGAACCCACAAGAACCTAGATGAGCCTCCCATCCTTTTGTTTCTCCACAAAACACATCCTTCCGAACCCTTCAATCACAACTGTTCCAAAAAACTGGACAATTCTGCCCAGTTACACTTTGATTCTGTTTCAGGTTCAGCAAATACCTCATACCTCTCCTTATTCACACAACTGGTATGGTTCCTGAGAGTGATATTAACATCCCTTATGTTCACTTTCTCAGAACCAAACCAGTTGATGCTCTCTCACCCCTCCCACAGTAAGTTCATCAAAAATCTGCAGCAACACTCACCCTTCCTAGCTGCAGGTGATGCAGAATTCCACCAGTTCTGCAGTTTCCTTAACACCTGCAGTCAGAGTCTTTCAATCCATGGTTCTCCTCTCTTCATGAGCATCTATACTACCGATTGCAGTTTATTCATAAACCTGCAATCAGAGTTTAGAACAGGGATCACAATTGCTCCCCTCTCCCCAGACTCTACTCCAGAACCCACAAGAACCTGGAGTTTGAACCCCCCTTCACTAACATATTTGCTGTCTTTTGCAGGTATTTGGAGTTCACTGGATCAACTGATGACTTTTCAGACAGTGGTATCAGCATTCTTAATGCTCATTCTGCTGAAAATCTATCAGTTGATCACAGTCTCTCCAATCTTTCTCACCTACTCACTCTCAACTGTTTCAATGACAACCCAACACTTACAACAATTTCAGATTAGCAAGCTGGCTCAGATTCAGCAGTTCAGTCTCCAGCAGTTTTCAACCACAGTGTTGCTGATTGAATGCAGGGATCCAGTTGTCAACATTTCAGGACAGCGCTCCCTCTTTTCTGTCAAGAATCTCAAGCAGAATCAAAACACAAGCCCAACATCTTGGCCCCCTTTTGTTAGCCATCTTCAATTTGGCTTTCTTTAGCACCAATGTCAAAGCAAAGTTGAAGATGGTTCCCTCAAACATCACATAGTTTTTGCATATTTTTCTAGGGACTTTTTACATGTTTTTTGGTGTAGAATTTTATGTATATGGAAGACTAACTTTCAAACCAACTCTATGGTAGAATTAGGTTTTCTTGTACTTTTTTGTATAGTTAACCTAGGTTCACTTCATTATGGTTTTGTATATCCAATTGGCTACCATTGTGGGATAGTCAATAGGATCATCATTATAGGTCTAACTCATCATAGCATACAGGTCTCACCTGAATATCATAGTTGGATAATCAGGTGTCCTTGTACCATATTTCTCGAGGTAAGGTTTATGCCCCCCTCCTTTGTTGTACTTTATGTTTTATATATGAAAATCAGCCATAGGCACTATGCCTAGTGGATTTTTCTAAAAAAAAGAGGCCTTCCGAATAAGGCGTTATGCCTCATGTCCCCCTCGATCACGTAGAATTTGGTATCCTGAATAGTCCCAGCAGTATTTACTGGCAGGGTTATTTCTCCTTTGGTAGTTTCACATGCCATGTTGAATACGTTTAAAACCTAGACTACTGGCACTACTTGGTCTTGTAGACCAACTGCTCTACGACCCTCGATCTGATGATGTTGGCTGAGCTACCTGGATCAATCAACACACGTTTAACTTGAGATTTAATTATAAGTACATATACTACCAATTCATCATTATACGGTTACACGATGCCTTCGGCATCCCTATCGTTGAATGAAATGGTTCCCTCTGGGATATAATCTCGGGTTCATTTTTCCCACGTAATGGACACCTTAGTGTGCTTTAGCATTGGTCATTGGGGATATCGACTCCTCCAATGATCACGTTGATGACATGCTGAGGTTCTTCTTGTTTGGTCTATTTGTTGGAGTCTCAGTTCCTAAAGTGATTTTTGGCTCGATCATTCAGAAATTCCCGGAGATGCCCGTTATTGAATTACTGGGCCACTTCTTCCCTTAATATTCAGTAGTCCGCGGTTCTATGGCCGTGAGTGCCATGGTACTTACACCTCATGTTAGGGTCTCTCTGGGTATGGTTGGACTACAATGGCCGAGGCCATTTGGTATCTTTGATGCTCCCGATGGCAGATAAGATGCTAGCAGCATCGACACTGGAGTTGTATTCTGATAACCTTGGTGCCCCCTAGCCCCGAGTGGCCCGTCGAAATCATTTTTTCTCATGAGTCCCCGACTACTCTAGGTTCGGTCGTTCCTCTTTTCGTTCCTGGTAGGGTTATGCCCATATCTGTTACCCCTTCGATATCTATAATACGTTTGATACCGTTCTTTGTTCGGTCTTGGTTCATGATCGATGACTCTCTTAGACCTGCCATTAGTTCCGACAGGATAAACGGACCCAGAGGGGGCCCCGAGGTGATCGTCTTCAACTCTAATTTTCGATTGGTACCTGTTATGGACGTTGCCCCAAGTTACCGGTGGGTACTCTACCAAATTCTAGTTCAACTGTTGTGAAGCTAAGGAGCTTTGGGGGTTGAGTCCATGAGTGAACTCCTGAACGGCCCAATCATCCGCAACCAGGGTCCATCCACCATTTGAAATTTCGATACGAATTCCCTAAGCATTTTCTTATCTCTTTGTTTTACTTTGAAAAGGTCCAAGTTTCTGGTCTCGACCTTGATGGCCAGATGTGTGCTTTTACAAAGGCATCTGCAAGCATAGCAAATGAGTCAATAGAATTCGAGGGCAAGTTGTGCTACAATATCATCGCTCCTTTTGACAGGGTTTCTCCGAGCTTTTTCAGTAATACCGACTCGATTTTGTCATCTTCTAAGTCGTTTCCCTTGATGGAACACGTGTAGGAGGTCACATGCTCATTTGTATCCGTGGTTCCATTATACTTCGGAATATCTGGCATACAAAACTTCTTCGGGATTGGATTCGGTGATGCGCTCGGAGAAAAAAGTTTTTGAACAAATTTCTTGTAGTCCAGGCTTTTCAATATCGGGGGCGCTCCTGGGATTTGATCAACTCTGGAGTTATTGGTGTCCATTTTTTTTGTCATTGGCCTCAATTTTCTTCTCCCCCAATTGTCAGTTCCTCAAGCATCATTTCGGGGTTACTCCCGGGCTCAGCTCTACCCGGCCTTTCCGTTACTTGCTCATTCCTTCGGGTGTTTTTTTGGGATTTTTCGGGCTCAACTCAGCTTGGGGCGTGGCTTTGGTTCTGCAACTGTGCTATCTGGCTTATAACATTTTGAAGATCACCCGCAGATTGATCTCGTCGACTTCACCTTCGGGCGTACCTCGAGTAGTTGGTCGGGCTCCCCCGCGAACGCTATTCTCAGGGTTGGTCGGGAGGTTGGCATCGATTGCCACATTCGAGTTGGCATCAATTGGGTCTATAACTAGGACTCCGTTTGGATTAGCAGGAGGCACCTCGTTGCTAGTTGCTATATTGTTGTTTTCGCCGTGATGGCCAGACTCAACATCAATGTTGAAGTAAGAAGACTGCGAGTTTGACATCCTTAGGTAGACCTGAAGTTAAAATATCAAAGAACAAGCGTAAAATAGAGTGTGTTATGGAAATTTGTATCAAACTACCACTATTATCCTTAGCCCATGGTGAGCGCCAAACTGTTTGCCGTTAAAAATGGATAACAATTGAATTTATAAGCGGTTTTATGTATATGTGGACTATTTCAATACAAATGATTAATGACGTTAGATAAGCAAATAAGTAACAGAACGAACTACCAAACCTAGTGATGATAGTGAGTCCGGGCTCAGTTAAAGGCTTAACAAGAAGCTTGCCATCGGTTCCAAACCAATGGATATGAAGAACTTATGAACCAAAACAAGAAATTTGATTAACTTTTAGAAAATATAGAAAAATAGATGTATATTTCCTTGGTATGCGTGTTACAATGTGTTTCCTGAATAATAAATCTCCCAATTATATACTAGAGGAGTTTTACCCTAAGTACAATCCTATGAATGGCAGAAATCTTCCTTTTCGCTAACCACTAATATGCCGCGATATGGGCTGAGATCTACGCCGTGATATCCGGTTGGACATGGATATCACAGCCCCTTGTTAACGTGTGAGGTTGTTTGGTAACGCTTTCCGACGTGTCATTATTCGAATCGGGTCTGTGGGCATGGTCTCGATGGCTCCAGGGGAAGATGTTTTCTCCAGACATTTATACGTGCGGGTCCCAGCTTCGATTTCAATTCCATGCAGTTATGCCCTCACTTTGTTCGCCCCCACCAGGAAATCAGGGTGCTCATTACCCTCAGTTTTACCCGTATACAGTTTGGTAAATTTGACCTACATATGATAAAACTAATTAATAAAAAAAACTATGGAGAGAAAAATCTCCCCCTAAACAAAGCTCTTTTAATGACTACATTGTGAATTATTATTGTTGTGTGAAGGAAGGATTCTCAATATATTGAGGCCACAACATTTTCCTCCAAGAAAAGAATCTGTCAAATACGGAAGAGATTTATATATTCCTTTAAAGAAAAGTAAAATAATTAGGGTTAATATTCTACCTTTCCTTCAAGTAAAAGAATAAATCTAAATAAGGTAAGAAAATCAGGACAAATTCTTAATAATTCTCCTCTTGCGCTGAATTTTCTTGATAATTCTTGATCCGTCATCTTCACATATTCTTCATCACTACTTCTTGGCATAGTTAAAAATAGGTACGGGTTAATAATTAGAGCCTCGTGCATTAAAGGTGAACACAGTTAAAAATATTGGAGCCTTGCATTGAAAGTGAGCAAAGTTAAAAGTAAAGCTCATGCGTTACAAGTAAGCATGAGTTAAAAATGAGAGCCCATGGGTTATAAGTAAGCATGTTGTCAATCTGTACTAACTACAATATTATGAAACAGTAAATTTTTTGTAACAGAAAACAGAAGCAGAATGTAACGACCCAACCAGTTGTTTTGAGCTCTAGCACGTCGTTTAGTGGTTTGAGGCCATGAGAGGCTTCACTTCAGGTATTATGACTTGTACGCATGGTCAGAATTGAATTTCGAGAAGTTCAGAGTTGATTTGGAAAGAAAATTCTCTTTTCTGAAGCTTTAAGTTGGAAGAATTGACTAAAGTGTGATTTTTGAGTAAATAACCATGAAATCGGGATTTGAAAGTTCCAACATGTTCGTATGATGATTTTGGACTTGGGCTTATGTTCGGATCAAATTTTGGATGACCCGAGAGCATTTCAGCGCCTATTGTGGAAGTTGGCATTTTGGAAGAATTTCATAAATTTTTGTTGGGGTGTATTTCAATGTTATCGATGTCCATTTGGGATTCCGAGTCTAGGAATAGATCTGTATGGTGATTCTGGTACTGGGAGCGCGTCCAAAAGATGATTTGGAGGTCCACAGGTCATTTCGGGGTCATTTGGCGAAAGTTAGATATTTGAAGGTTTTTGAGAAGTTTGACCGGGAGTGGATTTTTTGATATCGAGGTCAGATTCCGATTTCGGAAGAGTAGGTCCGTAATGTCGAATGTGACTTGTGTGCAAAATTTGAGGTGTATCGGATGTGATTTGATAGGTTTCGGCATCGAATGTAGAAGTTTGAAGTTCTAAAGTTCATTAAGCTTGGAATTGGGCAGTTCATGGTTTTGACGTTGTTTGATGTGATTTAAGGCCCCGAGCAAGTTTGTGTTATGTGTTTAGACTTGTGTGGGTGTTTGGTTTGGAGCCTCGGGGGCTCGGGTGAGTTTCGGAGTAGCTTTGGAGTGTTATGCTAAGAATTCGGAGTGTTGGTTCTAGTATAATCATATTTGTGATGTTTTGGTCGCAGATGCGAGTAACGCATTTGTGAGGTAGTCCTCACATTTGCGAATCTGGGCCGCTGAGGGAAAGGATCGCATTTGCAAAACAATGATCGCTATTGCATAGTCTTAAGAGTTCGCATTTGCGAACTCTGTATCGCATTTGCGATGAAGGCCTGGTCTGTCAGGGGTTGCATTTGCGATGTTTTGTCC